AAAAAAAAAAAAAAAAAAGAGTGCTTCCCTTAATGCATGCATTATCTAAATATTTATCTAATATGTGCTTATGTACTCTTAATTGTTGTAATACCTTCTTTATTTTTTTTTAAAGTTTATGTATTTATTTTGAGAAGGAGAGAGAGTACAAGCGGGGGAGGGACAGAGAGAGAGAGAGGGAGAGAGAGAATCCCAAGCAGGCTCCGAGCTGTCAGCAAAGAGCCGGATGCGGGGCTTGGTCCCGCAAAGTATAAGATTGTGACCTGAGCTGAAATCAAGAGTCAGACTTTTAACTGACTGAGCCACCCAGGCGTCCCTGTAATACCTTAAAACGATTCCCTTTTAGGGGTCATAAGCAGCTTGATTTAGTTCTCTTGAGTCAGGTGCAAGCCTACCAGTCACCAATTCAGCGACTAGTGTGGCCAGGACTGAGCAATGCCCAAGTTGTGAAAACCACTTGTTGGAACTACAGTTAACAGGTTAAATCAAAAGCCAAGATTTGGAGAAGGTAGCATTGGTAGAGAGGGGTCGGATGTGGACGTTGCCTGCAGGTTTGCCTGTGGGGCGGCCAGAGTAAGTCAGAAGAGACAGTGGTTCTAAGTATGTTTCTCTTCAGCTAAACATGTACCAGTTTAGGCAGGGGCCATTAGAGAACTAAATGACCAAAAACTTCCTAGGGGACTCCTTGCCTGGTGCATCTGTCGTCTCTGTAGAGAGGTCTAGATAACCTCTGCAATGACACAGGGAAGGTTCGCATGGCCCCTATGCAAGGATGAAACGCAAATCCGTGAAGTGTCCTGTAGTTTTTAGAGCTTACTTTCAAGAGCTTACTTTCTGATCTCTCACCTGCTCGCCCAGAGAACTGTATTCAAGGGGCATGAAAACATCTTAGGTTTCCAAGCTAAAACTTGAGGTCATCATAAATGAGCATCACCTCCTCCCAGTTTTTCTTGAATTAATGACACTCCTGTCATCCTTCTGACTCCTGAGGAGTTTTTGTTGGACCCTGTCCCTTAATGTCCCTGTCAACTGCCACACTCTGCCCCAGTCTCCTAGCTCCACCTGCTTGGACGCCAGTAGGACCTCCTGTCTACAGCACTACTTGCATCATTGTCAGTGGATCTCTTGCCGGAGGACACGCAGGGGCGTCTGCCTGATTTAACAAAAAAGTTAAGCTCGGTTGGTTAAGCGCCCAACTTCAGCTCGGGGCATGATCTCGCAACTCATGAGTTCGAGCCCCGTGTCGGGTTCTGTGCTGACAGCTTGGAGTCTGGAGCCTGCTTCAGATTCTGTGTCTCCCTCCCTCTCTGCCCCTTCCCTGCTCACGCTCTGTCTCTGTCTCTCTCCTCAAAAATAAATAAACATAAAAAAATAGAAAACAATTATATCCTCCTTGTAACACCTAGCTGTCTCCAAAGGCTAAGCATCTCTTCTCTTCCTGAGCTAATCTATGTATCTGTGTACCTCTCTGCATGGCTTATCTGGAACCCAAACCTTACCAGTTGCCTCCAAATTTACATCTCCCCCTCACCCTGCCCGAGTCCTCCCGCTATGCTCTCTCTTCCTTTGGCATTTGAGGATATGTTGGTTGTACACTTCTCTTTGGGGCATATCTGTGCTTGGGGCATAGGGTCTTGAGTGGCCCTTCCTCCTGCACCCTGGAGAGTGAGTGCTTTGTGAGTACCCTGAGTGGAGGAAGGCACAGGCGAATGCATGTTGTGATGGTAGAGACGACCCTAGTGGTAAAGTCGTATTTGCTTTTCCAGTATGGAACAATCGCATAATATTTTCCCCAGCACAAATTAAAGAAAACGCGATGTTGAAGCAAATGAATATATTTAAAATTTATGTAGAGTGCAGTAGGAATTAACTTTTAAATGGTGTTTGGAAATAGAAATCAAGAAATCAAAAGAGAAATGAATATGATTAATATCTCCCAACAGACAAGGAAGGGGGTATAAATTTGGATGGGCAATACCATTCCATTCCGTCACACAGCCATACACTAAGTGCTTCCGGGGTAGGGTTGAGTCCGTCAAATTTCATAGCGCCCCAGATAGTAGAAAATATTAGGTATGACTAACTGCCAAATAGGCTGGTCCAATGACCGCTCCCAACAGCCCATTGGCCCTACTCCAACTTTTTTAAAGTTTATTCATTTATTATTTCTGAGAGAGAGAGTGAGAGAGAGCACACATGTGCACAAGTGGGAGAAGGTCAGAGAGCGAGGGAGACACAGAATCTGAAGCAGTCTCCAGGCCCCGAGCTGTCAGCACAGAGCCCGTTGCAGGGCTCGAACTCATGAACTGCAAGATCATGACCTGACCCAAAGTGGAACGTTTAATCAATCGAGCCACCCAGGTGCCCCCCATTGCAATTAAAGCAACTTCCAGAAACCATTCGTCTTCAAAAACGCATTCTCTGTGCAAAGGATTCTTCATTAGGGTTTGACAAACTATGCACGGGCCAGTTCCAGCCCCCTCTGTTTTTAGTAACTAAAATTTTCTTGGAACACAAGGTCACCCATTTGTTTTCATGCTATCTGTGGCTGCTTCCCACTACAGTGGCAGAGTTGAGTAGTTGTGACAAAGACCCCATGACCACAAAATTAAAAATGGCCCCTCCAGGGGAAAGTTTCTTGATCCTTCACCTACATGATCGAAGGATACAGTAATTTTTCTGGAAGTGCCATTAGCTTGGAAGTAGAATATGGTTGGATGTATTATGTTCTGAAATAAGGGAGGGATCCAGCCCTCGATGCGTCCTTCCCCCCAGGTGCAGATGAAGGGCCTAGAATCTGGCTGACTGGCTAAGGGAGTAAGTAGTAACCTCTGGTTACCAAGTATAATAACTAACTTGCTCTGGTTTTCCAGAGACTGCCATGACTTTAAAACTGAGTTCCATGCTCTGGGAAATCACTCCTGGGTAAACTAGAAGGGTCAGTCAACCATACATGTAGGGTGGGGTCTGGGGCAGACTGACTTGGGTTCAAATCCCATTTTTGTGACTTCCTGCTGTGCAGCCTTGAGGAAGTTAATTAACGTCTCTGAACCTCAAATACCCTATCTATGAATTGAGACTGATCTATTTTGAGGGGTTGTCGTAGGAATTAAAGGAGATTATGTACAGAAAGAGCCTAGCACATAATAGGCTCTTACTAAATACTTGTTCCATTCCTACACTTTTGACCACTAAGGAACCAATTTTTTTTTATTCAATCTTTAACCAGAAGTACTTTTCTCACAAAACTACCAGAAAGAAAAATTTAAAATACTTTTCTTATGTCCTCCATTTTCTCTCTTTTTTTTAACTTAACAAAGTATTTTATTTTACTTTTGAGAGAGAGAGAGAGAAAGAGAGAGAGACAGAGTACGAGCAGGGGAGGAGCCCAGAGAGAGGAGGACACAGAATCTGAAGCAGGCTTCAGGCTCTGAGCTCTCAGCACAGAGCCTGACACAGGGCTCAAAACCCACGATCTGTGAGATCGTGACCTGAGCCAAAGTCAGATGCTTAAACAACTGAGCCACCCAGGTGCCCTGTCCTCCATTTTCTAATGATGTTATTCCTGTGCCCCTTACAAAGAAATGCTCTAAAAACAAATAACTTGTTCTGTTGTAGGGGAAGAAATCCAAACAAAAAATCGCCTGCTTTTTAACTGTTGTATGTTTTAGAGTTTACTTATATCTTTTTGAGAGAGAGAGAGAGAGAGCACGAGGAGGGGGTTGGCAGAGAGAGAGTCGCAAGCAGGCTCTGTGCTGACAGCATAGAGCCCCGCAGTGGCTCAAAACCACAAACTGTTGCGATCATGACCTGAGCCAAAAGCAAGAGTCAGATGTCCAACAGACTGAGCCACTCAGGTGGCCCAGCTGTTTTATGTTTTAAATATAAATATTTGGAGACAAGCGGTTGTTGAATTTTGTTTTTGTCCAACTCTGGGTACATCCCAGAAAGGTTTGGTCTGCCCAGATAGTTCAAGAGATCATGATGCCCAAGTTCATGGCCAGATGCAAAACTAGGGTACGAGGTTCAGGGACTTTTTCTAATCAAGCATTTGGTGGCTGTAACAGAAAATGTTGACAGGATGTTGATAGAAGCTATGGGTGCTACTGCACTCATGATTCATCTGATGGGTGAGTATGACCAAAGCGCTAAGTGGACCAACACTCTCATTAATTTATTAAAGAGGTTAATAATAACAGCAGTGTACAGATCCAATAGCAGCCTGCATGCCTTCAAAGTCCCCCAGGACAAGATCAAAAGGATTTGACAACATTAATCTCGTGCCAACAATCAGCATTTTGATTGACCATTCAGTTGGTTAGCAAATGTGCGGGATAGAATTAAATAATGTGTCCCCCCAACAAAACCAATGTTCTGTAGGCTGTGGCCACAGGAGTTTGAAAAATCAAATTTTTACTAAATGAATTGGCCAGATCAATCCTGAACTATCAGTCTCTTTATTTAATATCTGGCTTCTTAGGGAATGTAGAGACTGGCATTAATTAATGTGAACTCCTATAGTAACATATTATCTAGAAGTTTCCCAATACCCACTCCATCATAGCTGGTTTTGAGAAAATTTAATTTACTTGAGGCTATGGACATGTAAGTATAATGAATCCAACTTTTTACTGAATTAATTGGTCAAGTCAGTCAAAACTTAGAATTCGGTGAAAAAATAAGTCAGATTGGCCGATTTAAAGGGCTGATGCAGCAAAATGAGTCACATTATTGGTTCATAAGACATGTTGCCTTAATTTGATTTAAACTATACCCATCTGTTTGCCATTTTGATGAGGAAACCACGGAAAGCACTGGTTTCCAGTGCTTGCTGTATGGTAGAGTCACCTGAGGAGTTTCCAAAACTTCCAAAGCCAGGCCATACCCAAGGTCAATTAAATCAGAATCTTGGGGGTGGGACCCAGGCTTCTGGACCTCTGTAAGCAACCCGGGTGATTGGGAAGGACTGACATCAAGTTCAAATAATTAGGATTGAAGTCACTCTACTATGTTTTGCTTTAAGGTGAAGCCCAAGCTGGAGGAGGAGAAAAGGATGAGACAAGGTAGCAATAGAAGAGTAATTATCATAAGCTAATAATTTATTATAACCTTTGTTATTATTAGTTTAAAGAGCAATGGCTAACTATTGATGGAGTTCTCACCACGTGCTAAGCACCGGGGCTGGCGTTTCACATGGATTCTTTTACTCAGTTCTCACACATGCTAGTGAAACCTTAGGAAATCAGTACGATTACTGTGCCCATCTTACAAATGGGGAAACTGAGGCATAGGAAGTTAACTATTTAACCCAGCTGCCAGGTAGCCCCATGAGTGCTGGCACAAAGCAGTGCGACTGTGCTTGAACTGTTTTTCAAGACCAGCCATTTACGACTCTGTTTCTTTAGGTCTTTGGACTTCACTATCTTATCTCTTTGGGATATTGGGTCTTTCATTTTTCTTTGCTTCTGGATGCCAAGGCCTCTCCAAACGGTGCACAAAAGCAATTTCTGATGCCCCTGGGAGAGAGGAAGGCCTGGCTATATGGATATAATAGGCAGAGGAGTTAATATTCCACAGATAGCTCTCCTTGTCTCTCAGGGGAGTTTCGGGCCTACTTAAAGCCCTCTTAGGCAGCAGGAAGGAAACCTGAAACAAAACACCCACCTGGAAGAAACAGACGTATTCACTAAAGTGTGTTTAAAATTTCATTGAAAAAGAGTACAAATCTAATGGGACTTCCCATTCGTGGCAAATCTTGTCATTTCATATCTTCGGTGTTGGCCTGTCAGCCTGTATGGGTTTGTTCA